GCGATAAATCTGCTGTACCCGTCTTCGTAAATCCGCGAGTTAAACCCGTATATCTTTGGCATCGATCGCGAGTCCCCCTACCTGCTGCTAACGTCCTATTCTGCACTTTTAATGAGCTTCGGGGGAATCATGTTCAAATCATAAGAAAATGGTTGTAGATTATTTGGTTTATATACTTTCCCAATTAACAAAGACATGTGGCCGCCATGTTTTTTCCTCAGTAGTCGACAAAACCGGCCAGGCAAGAAGACAAATGTCAAACAGTCCAGGATAATCGGGCAGGTACCAGGCGCGCAAAGCATTGCTTGTAAATGGTGAAAAATGATTTTCTATTATCACTTGTCAAACGAAATATTTTTTGCCCATTGAAACGACAAAATAAGCTTTTTTTTCTAATTTGGTGAAACTTTCTAAAGGAATGAGTTCTTATTTATTTATTATTTTTTGACGTAAAAGCCATTGTTTTTCGAGCCGAAAACATGGAACTAACAAATGTTGATTTACGAACAAAAAGTTCTGTGATAAGCTAATTCGTTCGAGCTGAGTGAAGCGAAATCACCTCCAGTATCGGGCCAAAAATACCTTAGTTCGCTTAGATTTGTTTAGTTAGGTAAAAATTGAGTTTCAGTCTTTCCCTTTTCTTCGAACATTATCCATCCAATAATTAAATCATCAACGGAACTTCCCAATGGAATTTCAAAACCAACCTGTTTCTACTGGAGTCGTTAGACGTGGAGAAGTGATGAGCTCAAGATCATAATGTGATCTGGCGATGACCAAGTCCTGATGAAGGATGATCAAGCAAAGAAACACAGCGATCCTTTTTGATGGGACGCCCATCTGGAGTTGCTGAAATTGAACAATGAACAATAGATAGGACAATAACTAATTATAGGAAATTGTGTTTTAAAAAACAAACAAGCAAAGTATGGAAAATGAAAAAAGCTGAGAGAGAGAAATATATAAAAACAAAAACAAAAAAGGGTTTTCGAAAAAGGCAAAAAATAAATAAATTAAAAATTCGAAACAAATTAGGGAATACTGAGTTATAGACAAAACACACAAACAAAAAATGATCAAACACAAAACCAAAAAAAAAGAAAAAAACCCAAAACAAATATTCAATACTCACAAGCAAAACAAAAATCTGGCCAATAAAAAAATTTAATCTAAAAGTGAAAAAGAGTAGAACAAGAAAAAGACAAAATACGCATACCTGGCTTGTTTGGTGACACAGTCAATCTGATCTAAGATTTTATTAACGCCTTTTTTAACCAAGTCTTGCAACGTAGCATCAATTAAAAGATCTGTTCATCGCTTTTCAACTAGCTACCCCTTATTGTTTAATTTCAATCGTAATTAACACATTCCTCGACAGCGAGCAATAATTTATCGAAGAATGACGTTAAGATTGGCAGTTTTATTTTTGAGAAATCCCAGTTTTCTAATGATTATAATAATATTTGTTGATTACAACATACGTCTTAACTGAGTTAATCTGAGTTGACTTTTGATAACAAAAACAAAACATGAGTAAACACAAACAAACAAAAACACAAATTTCTAATTCGTTGTACTCTTTCTACATTAGAGCGACCACACAGTAAATCCGTGAAACTTTAGTAATACTAAATAGCACAATTTCATGCAAATTCCATTGTTTTCTATTGTTTAATTAGCACTATTTTGTACTATTTAGTAATTAGTGTTTCACGGATTTACTGTGGTCACTCTATTGCTTCATTGTACTTAAAATTACTGTTAATAGCTATTTTTACTGTGTCTTCCTAGTTTTTGCACGAAAAAGAGAGATTTGAATCAAAAAATGATTTTATAGCCAGTTCAAATTAAATAAATACATTTATTTCTGAAAACATTTATTGGTCAATCTACTGAGGCGCAAGACTTCATGATTTTCTTCTATTTTTAGTAACAAAATGACGTACATGATTGAATCTTTTGATGGATTTTACTGCCCAAGGACGTTTTCTTCGATTGTTAGATCGTTACATCAAGTTCTTTCGAAAAATCGGGTCATTTTAGTATAACTAAGATAAAGAAAATAAACAGGAATATTTTCCCCGCCAAAATTTCGAAAACCAGAAGAAAAAAAATTGTAATTGAAATGGAAAAATTATTTCAAAAAATTCCGATTTCAGGTCTTAGTTGTGCTCAGCGTCAACGGTTTGGCTTGAAGCTATTTTGCTTGAATAATAAGTAATATTACAGGCCGGCTATCCCCTGCAGGAAGTTTGATCATGTCAGTAGTGTTAATTAAAAGGCTTCCCGTCGTTCGTCAAGTAGTTACCTGTTATTTTTTTCAATTTCGATCTCATAATTGACGCATTTTTTAAAAAAACCTGCTGTAGAAATATTAAAAATGAATTTAAGATGAACAGATTGAGGTTTTGATAAATTCCAATTGTCAATGTCATTTATTAAACTAAGTTGATCTGGTAATGGCTGTAAAAAAAGCAAACAAACAACCAAGAACGAAAACACCTAAAGCACGGTAAATGGGTCGAATTTGAGTAGCGCGTGAAGCGGGGACAAATGATTTCAAATTCTTATTTCAAACATATTATATTGTTGTTGTTTTAAGAAAACTTCGTTTGAAGAAACATAAACCATATATTTAACATTATAGTCTTTGCCCCTATAGAAACTACTTGGTATGTTTGCTCTATCTTCCTATTCTTCACATTGGCAAATATGCTTGGACAAGCAGTTGAAATTAAAGTTGGAAACAAGAGATTTAACTGAGGATCAATGGAATGGCAAACAAGGTTTATTCGCAAGGTATCAAGGCTGGGGATTTGTATCCTGTAATGTGCAGAAAGATTAGTATATAATTAAATGGAAAGGTTAATTTTATACAGGGAAAAAATGCTCTGTGGATACATACATATATAGACCATTGCATGCATTAATTTCCTAGTGGAATTGTTTTGGGGGCAAAACAATAGACGAAAACAAATATGCGAAAACAATTCATTTTTTATCCCCAGAACAATTCTATTCCTCTCGGAACTCAGTGTATTGAGGGCTGTTAAGGGCTGTATTTTTTTGGTCCTTTAGTACACGGGTGTGAACAGTGCTGTAAACTGCTTGTGTGTCATGAGTAGAGAGTCGGGGTTCATCCCATAAACAAAGGTGGTCCATACTATGACAGACACGATTTATAGTGACTGGTAAATTCAAAGGATAGGATAAGCTTGGGAGTAAAAAGAACAAACCCTGGTGTTTTTGATCAAACAAATAGCTTTGTGTTCGTGATTTGCGATGTTGAAATGAATCTAACTAATTATTAGCTGTAAAGATCGCATTCCTTTCAGTTGGACCACTGACCACAGCTGCGGCAAAACTCCATCTATTGTAGAATTATCTATCTTTGGGTGCAACGTCGGAACATTCTGTACATAGAAATTTTCCTTTATTGAACTTTTTTGTAAACTTTAAGAGTCCATCAGATCTACTGGGTGAACTTCTTTATGAGTTCCAAATATAACAATAATTACAGTTCATGGTTTGAATAGAAAATATTTATAGAATACTTTACATATCTATATTTTTTATATTCATATCTACATTGCTGATATTTATGCTATGACTGTGGCAGCCATCTTGAAAAGTAACCAAGCCTTCATAATCAATCAACGATATTTTAATGCATTGTGATCATTGAACGTTGTCAGTTGATGAACCAGGATGACTTGACTTTCAAAAGGGCCACCTCAGCTATAGAAAGGACTGGCTGTTGGAAACTAAGACTGCGAACTTTCTTTGAAATAAAGCTATTGCTAAAACCACTGGGCCCGGTTGTACAAAGAGTGGATAGCGTTATCCGACGGATAAATCCAGTCTAATTCAGTGGATAAGTCGATACTGATATCCAATAAATTTATCTACTGCATAAGATTTATCCATCGAATAGCGATATTCACCCTTCGTACAACTGGGCCCTGGCGGAGCTTGAGCCGACGCTCAAAGTAGTCATTCGATATGCGACATTCTGTGTCGATCGTCGAAATTTATTTAAATGAAAAACAGAAATCCACGTTCCTGAGACTTCATTTGTATCACATAATATTAATAGAATTTATACCAAAGATGTACTTTATTAGAGGTTGGCTGAGCCAAAGATTCAGCGGTTCTCGTGGGAACATGGAGTCCGAATTGATATCCAGCCTTCATAAATTTAAGTTTAGAGCTTGGTTCTCACTAGCGTCGGAATCGGAAGCAACATAGGCAAACTCAGTAGTTTACTGGTCATGAACAGCACTTTTTTCACACCTAGATAATCAATGCGACTTCCGAGTCTACATGTTGTTTCAGATTCCTATTTCGACGCTAGAGCCGGACCCAGGCAACACAGAGTTTGAACAGTCAATAGATTACTAATTTGAATATTTACAGCATAATATTTGGCCGCATAGCTGCTACTTATTCGTTTTTCGTTTCAACATTATTTTTATACCCGCGAGGTGCCGGGCTGCTCGCGAAAAAAAAAAAAAAATAAAATAAAAAACTTTAAATTTTGTCGATACCCTGAAACAACCGCTAGACTGATCTAAGTCAGGGGATAACTATACTCCTGAGCTAGGTTATACGAAGAGTGAAAAGCGCTATCCGACGGACAAATCTTTATCCAGTGGTAAGTCGATGCTAGAATAAAAACTATCCATCGGATAGCGCTATCGAAATAACCCATCGTACAACCGGGGCCTGGTCAGTCCTCTTCCGAGATATGCTTCGCTTGTCACACACAAAAGTTCTGTTACGAGGCTACGTGCGAAATTAAATTTATTCTTTTCTCCTTTCATGAACTACTGAGCATTATGCACGAAGCCTCGCATTGAAACCTTTGTGCGCGACATCGAAGCATATTTCGGAAGAGGGCTATTCCATAATTCAAGCTATTTCAATTGTTTCGGTTGTATTTTATTTTTAGGTTACTAGTAACTCAGTGTTACGATATATTTTGATATAATGTTTTCCACAAAACCAGCAATTCGCTTTTTTACAAACAAAGAATTTCATTCTCAAGGGGATTGCACGTGGTCTGAAATGGGGAATTATTACGGCAAAGTTGCAAGTCATTCAGTCTACTAAAATTCATATAAATAGACCCCTTGCATGTGACGTCAAAGCAGTTCAATTTGAAGGACAAAACAAAAGAATTTCAATCTCCTGAGAATTGGAAATCTATTGTTATGTCCTCCAAATCGAGCTGCATTCCGACGTATTGCATGGGGTCTATAGACAGTAACCGCGTACTGCATGGGGTCTACAGACAGTAAGATCTATTGAATTTTTTAAAAATGTATCTAAAATAATGAATACCCATCCTAATGTTTACCGTACACCAAATCCAAGTTTCTGATAGTAAAGGCACCAGGAGGTGAGCTGTGATAACCTTGGGATATCGACTGGCTAGCATTCATCGCCTTTGTATTTGTCTCAAGTCTAGTGACGTCATCTTCAGTGATGACGTCATAATCAGTCAGGACTTCAACTGAGTGGGAAGTAGTTTGAGAGACGCTGATACTCAACTGGGATAAAGTCCGCCTTACGATCGCATCTGTAAAATATTTACACTCAAGGAAGTTTCTCATATGAAGTTGATTGAAAACGCTCTCTCGCCAGCGAGGTACTAGTAGCCGGTCGCGATATTGACTCTTTGATCGAGAACGCCTTCCCATGCCTTCCACAGCATGACCACTATCTTCTTCATCGGTATCTTTCACACTAAATTCTTTCTTGGATTCCATGTACGCCTTGGCACGCTGTGCAACACTGTTGCTTCGAAGTCTAGTGGCCTTCCCACCATGGCTTCTTATTGCATCGAGAATCTCAGTTTGATTGATAACATTTGGCTCCGCTTCGACGAATGCAGTGTTTAACGCGTCTTTGTGAGGACGAAACTCGCCGTACTTATTAAGATAGTCCGCTAATTCTCTATTTATCCTTACCTTTGATTTAGCACTAGAGGTTCTTACCTCTTGTAACTGGGTAAAGCTTTCGGTTTGTGTCTTATTTCGTTGTCGTAATTGCCATTTGATATTTTCTTTCCACCAAACGCCAGTGTCATTACTACAACGCGGCGGTGCGTAAAGTCGAAACCGAATAAGCTTCTGAGGGGTTGAAATACACGAACAGGATGTATGATTACCATAGTCACAGTGTTTCTGAATAGGTCCGTCTCGTTCTGAAGAGGGTACAGAACCCGTTACACGTGGTGTACACGTGACAAAAACATGACCCATAGTTCCAGCCTCCTCACTGTTAAAAGTTCTGTCTTTATGAGTTCCATGACATTTTTTCGGAGTACTCTGTCTAAAATTACCGGAACAAAATTCTTCCCGTGAGGAAGGAATCACCACAAATTCCTCGAAGTCCTGCAATTCCGGATTCTGAAAACAATTTTTCCCGGAGTATTTGTCTCTCGTTTTCCGTACATTCACTTCAATACTGATGACGTCATAATCATCAATCTCAGCTCTCGCACCTCCTATCGGCAAATCTGTAGCGCATTTGGGACACGGATCGATTTCGTCGTCTCCATAGTAACCAGAATTGACGTCACCGCTGTACAGTCCACTTTCGCCGCTACTACTGAATGAGTTGCTATGGTTATGGGACTTCAAAGTGGACTCGGAGGACGATCTGGACAGACTTCGTTTCCAGAACTTGTATCTTCCTTTCTCTCGTGAACGGCTTGAATGGCGTTCCTTCCAGCTACTGTCGATCTTGCGCAGTACATTGAAGTATGAATTATTAAGAAACATGATCAGAGGTGGAGTATGGACGACCTTTGGAAAAGACAGAAGTACAAATGTCAATTCGTGTAATAGACCTCTTCAAGTCTGGTGCTGCAATGATTTTCCCATTTTAGATCATGTTTCATTCTCTTGAGAATGATATTTTTTGTAAGAGTTGTATCCATATTCCTTTGTGCATGTCTTTTCGTGTGCAATTGTTAAACAAAGAAATGGTACTCTAGGGAATGACACATGGTCTGAAATGGGAAGACAATATTCCCAAGTGCCACCCTCAGTGCCTACACCTCATCCTAACCATCTCTCTTTCATAAATCATTGTAAAGCGCCTTTGAACATATCCATATGGAAAAGAGCGCTATATCAATATCAATATCATTAAGTCAAATAATTGATGTCAAATTGAGCTTAGTAGGCAAATTAAGTACCTTTATTTTGTAATACTATTGTATTTGCACTTATCCTGGTATTAAATGCCCACCTTATCTGACTTGTTGTACACGGAACATTTGTAACAAAATGAAGGTTTATTGGGTTATAAAGCTTAACGAGTATCCGCAAGAAGTATCGGAGGTTTTTACTGTGTGAACCCTTCGACTGAGGCCATTTCTTAAAATCATAGTTAATGGAGTTGAATGGTTTGTAAACCTATTGTTCTATGTTTCCATACCGCTTTATCCAGTGTTATATGACGTTGACCATGCCAAGTAAGCATGATTTCTTTATCAAATCTTGATAATATGGTAAATTTTGACCATTTTGTATAACTCGTAACTCATAAACTCAGTTACTCCCCCATCCTTTAAGAACAACAGTATACCGTTTTCAACACGTCGTCTACATCGTAAATATTAAATAACAGGACATGGAAGTCGACATCAAACAGACTAAATGCATGTTTATTCAGTTATATAAGAAAACAATGGCTGATAATAGTACCTATTAAATGTCCCACGAAACTGAACTAATTTACCACCAGAACAAGCGGGCCACACTGAGTGTTATTCAGAATGTAACGAAAACGTCTTTAGCAGACGGCGACGTAATTTTATAGTTCTACAAGGCTCTTTGACCCGGCGACGAGAAAATACCGAGTATTCAGGGTCTCGTAGAAGTATTTACAGTAACTATTTAATACTATCGATCTTTTAATGCCTCCGGCAACAGTCATCGGCCGAGTCAGTAGATCCTACGATAATTCAAATCAGAATACAATCCTAAAAGATGATATATTGTCTAAACAATTAATTTCATTGAAATTTATTCCAGAAATAAATCTGTGTTATTTAAATTATGTTCGCTGTTTGTTCAAGTTATATTTCGAACATAAAAATTAGCTTTTTTCCCATAGTTAAAAACTTTCCTCAACTGTAAAAGGAAGAGTTAAAGTGGGTATTTTCAAAGCTCTTTCTTGTATCTGTATGAAGTTATATTCTCTTCCGCGATGAAAAAAGTAGATACACCATTCAGTAATACGATTATTCAAGCTATGAACCTAATGAGCGCAAAAGATTTTCCCTCGCATTAATTCGTAAATGTTTTTGAAAAAAAAACCAATCTAATTATTCAGTAATTAAAAGTGAATACAAATCATAAATAAAAAAATTCAAAGGATGAGTTAACTTAAATTTTAAAGGTTTTTAAAACGCGAGCTTCTTCATCTTCTTTGTTTACATCGTGTAAGAGCTGTTCTTACAAAAGCCACTGCATATAGGTCATCAACAATTGAATATTCACGGGACTGTGGCGATAAGTTTTAATATTTATATCCAAGAGTAAGAAGCCGTGTTCTAAAAGCGTAAAATCTAACTCAAGAGCTAAGCGTGGCGCCATACCAGGATGTTCCAAATGAATACACAACTCTATCAAGATTACCTTGGGTCGTTCAAACTTTGTTCTTCTTGGTTTATTGACTTATAAGTCTTCCTCCATATAAGTTGAACTGTAGGACGTTTAAATGGACAGTTTTTCTTTGAATCCATCGTCGACAAATGGCTAGAGTCAGAGCCCAGTATTCAATAATGTGTAAAACTGGTTTATAAACAAGAATGAAGCGAGGTCACTCGAGTTCGTTGCATCATCCTGTGCCATTCACTGACGCTCTCACGCATGTTCAACACGTGAACACCACGCTCGTGTTAGCGCATCGTATATAGGGTAAGTATATTCGAAGTTCTTTTGGAATTCTGATCTTCTAAGCACTTGAATGTTAAACAGTTCTTTTAAATAGTTCGCACAGGGAATACCTCTTTTACCAAAAGCTCTGAGCTAGTTTTGACGGCTGATTTGCATTCCGAACACCGGCCTGTTTTAAGCGACCACTCATATTAACTGACCGATTTACCAGAAGAAACCGACCAACCATTCTGTAATAATTAAATCTAAAGTAAAAATAAAACAAAACCGGTTCATTTTCTAAACAAATACCCTTGAACAGAGACGGTGCAGGAAAGATGTACTTGGACCGGTCAGCAACTGATTAAAGGACTACTCAAAAGATACGATCACTGGCAGAAAAAGTTGCAAAACTATTATTTTTTTGTTCGAAACTTGTTTGAATTGTGTGCATTTGCACTATATTTGTTTTTTGAATTATGATAAGTCCCAGTTTTAGGCGGGAGGAGGGGTGTAACATTTCTGTTTCAGATAAGCTTTCTCAGTTGAGTACATGCAAACTAACCAACACGTTTGAAATAAATATCACCAGGCGCGATTTCTTTTTGCTAAATTGGGTTTTAAATCAGTCATTGCGTGAGCGTTGGTCCGGGAAATTCAGCCTTCGCGTGAGAATCCCATATGTTGAACAAGCATTAATTCAATATTGACTGTACTGCGTTAATTTATATCACATGCGATGGTTTTCTATCGGGGCTCATTTTGCATCACATGTATATTTTCCATCCCGGCTGAGGTGAAGCAGGATCAAAACCTTGATTTATAAATGAAAATCAAAAAGTATAATTCGTGTGCGCAACGTAGTAATGCAGAAATGTAAACGGACAGACAATTGCTCAATTCTTTACGAGTTTACTTTGCGAGTTTGTGTCTGGGTTATTGCGCTACCTTGCGCTACCTTGCGTTACCTTGCGCGCGCCTGTCCCGAGGGGGGAGGGGGGGTACTAGCTCCCCTATATTTGCTATACGGGTATGTGCCGCCCTATAGGGTATGGTTTTTCGGCTTTTGGGTCTGGGGTAGGGTATCATTTTTTGACATTTTGTCTGGGATAGGGTATCATTTTAGTCTGGGCTAGGGTTAACGATTTGGTCGTTTTTGTCTGGCGAATAGGCTACGCTTTCTGCCGACACAAAAACATTAAAAATGTTAGTAAATATTGATTGCAATCGATTGTAAAACCGTATTTTCCGTCTCTTAGTCTGGGATAGGGTGTACAATTCTTAGTTTTAGTCTGAGGTAGGGTATGTAAAATCAAAATTTTAGGTCTGGGATAGGGTCAGGGCTTTGAGGTCCTGGCGGCACACCCCTACCCAAGTTGGGGTGGTAGTACCCCCCCCCCCCCCACGGGGCGCCTGTTTTCCGTGAACTTAGTATCTTCAACTAGTGCTAGTCAGAGCTGACGGGCTGTTTTCTGTTGGTCTTGCTGGAGTTGATGTTGACTTAGATCGATGTAGGTGCTGCTAACTTCGTCTAACATTGTCGCTACATTAAACATTTTTTTTAAGGAATCTAATACATTTTACCATATCTGAGTTGAGTCTGAATTGTGGAACTCCCTCCCCATGAAACATTAGAACCCGTGATTCTCTATCAGGTTTTAAGAAAGATCTTAAACCTTGGCTCTTCCGGCAAGTGTACTAAAACCATCTTAGCTAAATATCATTACCAGCTTTATGTTCTATGAATATATTATTTATTCATTTTCATTTATTAATGTAATACCGTTTTATAAAACGTTGTTGAATCTTGTAGAATTAACGCTATATCAAATAAAGGTATTATTATTATTATTATTATTATTATTATCATTATTATCGTTATTATTATTATTATTAT